GTCCCCTAGGGAAATGTTAGCCCTAAGAATGCCAGGAGGTGCTGGGGTGCCTCAACTTACCTAAATATCCTCTGCAGTTACCACACTGGGTCACTGGCGTTTGGAGCCCTCATCCTGACCCTGGTGCAGATAGCCCGGATCATCCTGGAATACATTGACCACAAGCTAAGAGGTGATGGGCCGCGGTGGGGGACAGGCTGAGCTGCTGGAGTCTTGAAGAGGGCAGGCCAGGTAGGCAAAAGCCAGCGGCTAAGCGTGGGCCTCCCTTGTCCCCAGGATCCCAAAACCCCGTGGCCAGATGTATCATCTGTTGTTTCAAGTGCTGCCTGTGGTGTCTGGAGAAGTTTATTAAGTTTCTCAACCGCAATGCCTACATCATGGTGAGTGAGCAGAGCCTCCAGCAGCCCCTGCTCTGCACCTGTCTGCCCGGCTCCACCAACATGTGGGCTAGCTCAGCGGGTGGGGTGTGGCTCTGACCTTCCCTGCTCTCCTCTCAGATCGCCATCTATGGGAAGAATTTCTGTGTCTCAGCCAAAAATGCCTTCATGCTGCTCATGAGGAACGTTGTCAGGTCAGGCTGCCCTGGGGTCCCCCTCCCAGATCTCCTCATGGACCAACTCTACTCAGAAGGGTCCCATCCTTGGTCCACGGCTCCGCTGTCACCATCTTGAAACGGGGATAGATGTCACTGTTCCCAGCCCTGTCAGGTCCCTTACCCCAGGCTGCCCTGCCTTCCACTGCAGGGTAGTTGTCCTGGATAAAGTCACAGATCTGCTGCTCTTCTTTGGGAAGCTGCTGGTGGTCGGAGGTGTTGGTAAGTACAGTGGTCAGGGTTACAGTCATCAGGGTTACAGTCGTCAGGGTTACAGTTGTCAGGGTGTACAGTCAATCAGGGTGTACAGTCATCAGGGTTACAGTTGTTAGGGTGTACAGTCAGTCAGGGTTTACAGTTGTCAGGGTTATAGTCATCCGGATTTACAGTCATCAGGGTTACAGTTGTCAGGGTGTACAGTCAGTCAGGGTTTACAGTTGTCAGGGTTACAGTCGTCAGGGTGTACAGCCAGCCAGGGTTTACAGTCATCAGGGTTTACAGTCAGTGAGGGTTTACAGTTAGTCAGGGTTTACAGTCATCAGGGTTTACAGTCAGTTAGGGTTATAGTCATCAGGATTTACAGTCGTCAGGGTTACAGTCGTCAGGATGTACAGTCAGTCAGGGTTTACAGTTGTCAGGGTTACAGTTGTCAGGGTTTACAGTCCTCAGGGTTATAGTCATCAGGGTTATAGTCATCAGGATTTACAGTTGTCAGGGTTACAGTCGTCAGGGTGTACAGCCAGCCAGGGTTTACAGTCAGTCAGGGTGTACAGTCAGTCAGGGTTTACAGTTGTCAGGGTTACAGTTGTCAGGGTTTACAGTCCTCAGGGTTATAGTCATCAGGGTTATAGTCATCAGGATTTACAGTCGTCAGGATTACAGTCGTCAGGATGTACAGTCAGTCAGGGTTTACAGTTGTCAGGGTTACAGTTGTCAGGGTTTACAGTCCTCAGGGTTATAGTCATCAGGGTTATAGTCATCAGGATTTACAGTTGTCAGGGTTACAGTCGTCAGGGTGTACAGCCAGCCAGGGTGTACAGTCGTCAGGGTTTACAGTCGTCAGGCATCCTCTGGAGTCCAGACAGACAGGGTGTCTGCAGAGGAGCAGCACTGACCGGGGACTCTTGCCCACACAGGTGTCCTGTCTTTCTTCTTTTTCTCCGGTCGTGTCAAGGGGCTGGGGAAAGACTTTGAGAACCCCCAGCTCAACTATTACTGGCTGCCCATCATGGTGAGTGACACATCTCTCGGCTTCACCCAAGTCCCCAGAGCCCAGGGATCCCAATCGGTTTTGTTTCTTGCAGACCTCCATCATGGGGGCCTATGTCATCGCCAGTGGCTTCTTCAGTGTTTTTGGCATGTGTGTGGACACGCTCTTCCTCTGCTTCCGTGAGTGCCCCCCCACCAAACGCCACCCCTACCCTCAAACTCTCCACTCTTCAGGCTTTTCTTAGAGACTGGTTGTTGGCAGCTTGGTGAACTAAAGGAGCCAGAGGGGAAATCTACAGACATTCTAAGGCTAGCAGTCTGGGGAGGAAAGGAAGGCGCAAACCCGGGACATCCTCAGAGGGGAACCTTCTCAGACAGAGGCCTGGCTAGGAAATGTAGGAAGATGTTACCACAAAACCCTTCG